TTCATGAGCAAGATAGAGAAGGAAGGAGAAAGATACCCAGATTAGCGAGATATGACGCATCCTCTCTGTCCCCTCCCTCCCCAGCGGGGATGTACGTGCATACGGGCCTTAGACCAGTGAACCAGTAACTAAAGGTGCTATCTGGGAGAGCATTCGCTTCGGGACCACTACGCAGTTTCTCGCTTTTTGCAGATTTTTGGATTGAGTTAACGATTCTTTGTAAAGGCTACAGCATGACGAAGACGCAGGAGCAGTATCATTTGAGTGGGCGCTAACGCGGCGCGCGTATCCTCACCGTTGTAAATCTTGCGCCTAATGCGCTCTGCAGCTAGTAAAGCCGCGTTAGCGCCTAAAGATATTGCGCCTTTGTCAAGCAGCAGCCTATATATTAGATCGCATACAGTAAGTTTCAACTCAGTTTAGGCGGAAATTGGACTGGCGGAGTCCGCTTCGCAGTGATTTGAGCCGTTTTGCAATCTGCGTCTCCTCTTTCTAATCTATCTCGTTGAGACAGTGGCGGTGCGGACGCGCTGCTCACTTGGAATGTTCGCCTACTTTGGTTCGAAAAAGACTGTACTACTGGCTAAGAGATCACCGTGACTTAGTAAATGCGATACTCTCGTTTGGTAGGAGGGTAGCACCTCAAAATTACTTTAATGTAAGATCCGTAGTTTTGAAGTGATAATACTTAGCGCCAGAACTCTGTTTATTGACAAATTTGGAATCAGCGCTGAGACAGCTTTCTGAATGAGCATGGGATCAATTTTTGCCTGATTGGACTCATGATTATCTACTGCATGGTCTCTACCCTACTGCTTGCTCAGGTTTCAATGTTTGATCCAAAGCTGTGATAAAGTAGATTGATTTCTCTTTCACCACCTGCACAAAATCATACGAAACAAACTGTACAATGATTGGCCAACTAGTTTGTCAAATGAAGTCAGAACGAACTTCACGCACAAAAAACATTGGTAAACAATTTTCACTGTCTGACATACTGTCAAAACAGCAACAGATAAAACTCCCTCATGCTTACTGAAACGAGTACACGGGTGCACGCATCGCCTGTGAATCGCGGCGTGTACTGAGCCGAATATGAAGGGCTTCGGGCCGGTCCTCTTTGCCACATAATTCAAGACGTATTCGAGGCGCACAGCTATTTACTTTGGCTCACGTCGCCCTCGGTCATGCTTATGTCCGCAGAGCGCGGCAAACTCCTCGGACTTGGATTCTTTTTTGCATCTCAACTATAGTTTATAGATTCTTTCTTGTAACTCAACTATAATTCATCTTCTCCTTTCTTCTAGTGATAGGCTTTTATTGTTTATTCATAGACATCTCGTTTTCTTGAAACAAAGCCTAACTAAGACTGATATGGACACTGATACCTGCCGCGGATGGTGAAGAAGTTCATCGCTGCAAAGTCATCACGAAAGTAGATGTAAGAAGCATACAAACTACGATTTACCCTTTGATCAACGGAATTGACGCTGGAAGGCGGGGTTTAAAGGCCTGATCAAGGCTAGAGAATGATAAGAGAGACGTCACGGGTGCAAGCGGTCGCCTTCCAGCCGCCAATCCCCTTGTATCAAAGGGTAGGTGACTCGAATAGCGAACTATCAACTTCATTAATGAAGTAACAGAAGAAAGTAATTGTAAGCAAGTTTTGAATGTAATACGTGGTGATAATGATAGTTTGAAGAGTTCACTCTAACGATAAGACTCTTTTACATGTTCTTCTCTAGTTTGGAACTATATTAAACTATACTGACTAACTATAACCGTTTTGAAATTTAGTGTCCAAGCTAAACTCGCTAGAAGCACCATATTCAAAACCTGAGTTCAGCATAGCAAAAACGTAGCTGGAGATTAGTATCCATCAATCCAGCCTAACAGCAGCCTCAATAGCTTGAGTAAAATTCCTCGTTCATTTGACCAATAGCTGGTATGCTGCTAGATACCGCGATTCGCAGCCATCATTGCAGTTAGTATGCACAATGCGAAGAGTCTGATTCGCTAAGAACTGAAAAACTGGAAACGCAAGAGCAGTGCATAGCGTAACCGCCATGTTTTTGCTCTGGAAGAGTATACACAATATTTTAGCCAAAATGACTATGCTTATGCACCATTCTCCGACCAGTTTCAAGGTCTGAAGGCTTGTCAGGCCATTAGTGAAACAAATACAGCAGCAAGAAAGCGTCGGCCCACGAAAGCATGACAGTTTCAAGGAGACAAACGTACAAAAAACAGTTGTGCAGCGCAAATTTTGCAAAAATAACTATTCACAACTATTTCGTCGTAGTTGGATTGAGAACATACACCTCAACTGACAACTTTGACAGTCCTGTATGCAAATACTAGACAAAAGTCGAGAAATGCTACAAAGGATGATCTTTTATGACAGTGAGAAAAAGAAGAAGATGAACTATAGTTGAGAAACAAGAAAGCTATAAACTATAGTTGAGATGCAAAAAGAATCCCAAAAAGAATCAAGTCCGAGGAGCTTGTCGCGCTCCGCGGACATAAGCGTGACCGAAGGCGACGTGAGCCAAAGTAGATAGCTGTGCGCCTCGAAAACGTCATACACTCTGCCCCAATCGGGATCAGGCCGAACCGTCGGCTGAATTTGCGCGCTCGCAGCGCTAAGGTTTCGCGCTGCATTCGCGCGCCGTCGCAGAGAGCGAAGGGAATGGGGAGAGAGCAGACAAGCTAGCCGCAGATGTGGCGTGAAACCCTCGCGACGCGGACTCCCGCCATGCCAATTGGCCTGGTTAGGATTGGGGCAGACTGTAGTTTAAAGGACACCGCATGCAATTGGAGCGCGAAATCTATCAATGCTTTGGTTTACACTATTTTTGGCTCAAAAAAAGAGGAAAAGCAGTGATTTGATTCCCTCTCTTCGCTATATGATAGATTTTGGAGCGTTCTCTTCGTCCAAATGAAAAAGGTTCAAAACTTATGTGAACTCTCCAACATTTATGCTCCGAACCAACCCAATTGGTTTGGTGTTGGTCTAGAAACCAACAAATTCGGGAACGGTATAAGGACAAAGTTTCTAAAACTTTTCACATAATGTTGTTTGTAGTAATATTGTATATACATAGCCCAAATTCGGCGTCATTTGATTGTTTGTGCGCTGTAAACAAGTCATCTGTTTGCTTGGGTCTTACGTTTGAAATTCGCACGCTTGCCAAAGAACACGTTCAACTCGTAAAACCGGACATGTTTTTCGTTTTTTGGTGCTCCGCCCAGGACCTTATAAAAACGATATCCCCGTTGCTTCTAACCTCAACAACGAAGCCCAGTTGGACCCCGAACCATCTGTGCCGGGCCCTGACTGAAAGACGTGCCCAGTTTTTTCTAAAATTAGCTGGAACTGTTCCCTCCTTATTAGCTGAGCTGGACCGACCCTAGCTCACATAATACTTCGAGATTTTTTCAAATACATATTGTGCTTTCACCGTGAATTTCATAAGAGCGAAAGGCGGCTTCATAATCTTTCCTCATGGCTTTTTTATAGACCTCAAAATATTGTCATTGGCGGCGAAATCTGCCCGGAGTAAAGAAAATATTGTCATTGGCGGCGAAATGTGCCCGGATCGTAAAGTACGCCTCTAACAAGGGAACGATCCCAACTCAAGGTGGCGAATTGGAATGAACCACATATCATTAGATGCGTCTTGATGAGCTGATTGCAAATCTACCTTCCTTATCTGCGACAACGTTATCTGGAAGAAGTTATGAACGGTTAAAAACGTGAATTAACGGGGGTTTTAGTGCATAATTCGCTTCAAATTCAACTTGGAAGTGTATGACTAGCATGATATTGTGTGTACTGATTTCAAGGAATGCTCACACTCTAAAGAAACACAAATAAGTGTTTTTAAATAACTAATTTTCGAGGTATTGCGCTGTATATTTGCCAAATTTGGACTTTTCATTGCTCATAGCTTCTATCAAAGAACTTTAGTTGCTTTTTAGCTGTTCAAAAACAATTATTTGCGTTTCTTTTGAGTGCGAGCATTCCGTGAAATCATTACATTCAATATGATACTAGTCGTGCACTTTCAAGTTGGATTTTAAAGCAAATTATGCATCAAAACCCCCGTTACTTCACATTTTTAACCTTTCATAACTTCCTCCTGATAACGTTGTCGCAGATATGCAAGGTAGATTTGGAATCAGCTCATCAAGACGCATGTAATGGTATGCGCTTTATTCCAATTCGCCACCTTAAAGGCACCGTCCACCCAAAATGGAGGTTGGCGAGATTATGATGGCATACTAGTGTGGGCCCCCATACTAGACAAACCCCCAAGTTTCGCCGCAAAAGAGTGCTTCTGAAGCGAGAAATCCTCTCCGGAAGTAACAAAAGTGGGCGGGGCGCCCCCGGTCGCCCCGCCCACTTGCATGCTTTATCTCGCCTGCACTTGTTGCAGAGGGTTCTTGAAACAGGGATTTTTGGGGGTTTCGCAAAATTTCGACTCCATATTCGAAATCAGGGCTTTCAGAAGGCCTAAGGCGACAAAAACATTGAATTCGAGTTGGGTGGACCGCCGGGGGCCCCGCCCACTTTGTTACTTCCGGAGCGGATTTCTCGCTTCAGAAGCAGTCTTTTGCGGCGAAACTTGGGGGTTTGTCTAGTATGGAGGCCCACACTAGTATGCCATCATAATCTCGCTAACCTCCATTTTGGGTGGACGGTGCCTTTAAGTTGGGACCGCTCCCTTGTAAGTAAATCAAGTTCGGTGTTGATTATGCTTGCTTGTTTTCCCTTTCTCTTGAACTGTTTCTTCTTGTTATGTGAGGGGAGGGGGGTCGAATGAAGTCAAAGAGGACTTCGTGAAAAAAATTTTTTAAATCAAAAGGGGCTTCGTTTTATGATGTCTCTGGTTCCAGTTTGTGTCAAGTCCTGTTATTCATGAAACCTTAGCATTTGTTGTCATCACATGTACGAATCAAATTGAACACAAACTTATCTGGAGATAATTGCTTTTTAGCAATGTCTTCTTGAACTTTATTCCGCAAGAAACGAAGTATGGGTGCGTAGAACAATACTGGAAGCTGCCAGACTATTTGATCACCAATCTACTTTCGATCGAGGAAGTAAGTGAGCAATTTTTTTGGATTTTGCAGGATCTTATACCGTGGTAAATTTTGAAAGTGTGTTCCAAGCGTTTTTTCTACACTGCAAATTCGAGTCAGAAGTTTTTTTTGAATTATTCAGAATCTCGATTCACTTAGAGAGGTTTTTTCTAGAAAGAGACTAAGTTTTTAAAAACTATGGCATTTTTTGACAAATAAAGCCTTTTTCATTGCAGATTCTTTGCATCTACGGAAAATACTTCTCTTTTCAGGCCGGGAGTACGAGAATTACCTTCGTTCTGGGAATTTGCATTTTGAAATTCCCCCTCGCATTCATACCGAAAACTACCTACGGATCGTATACCAAGTCTCAATGTACGCAGTGATTGCTTACCTTCATCTTCTTGCTTGTATTATTCTGTATTATATAGCCTGTGTGGAGAAAAACAAAGACAAGTTACCATGACTGTGTCGTATGCTTGTCGCTTATTGTTGTTTGTTAGTTCAAATCTTAGAGATTTTTCTGATAAATTCAATTTTGTTCGTGTGTCTTCAATGTTCACAAATGCTGTGTAAATCACCATTAATTCCTGCTAATTCTATGCGCTCATAGAAATTTTACGCATTCATTGGGGACGAATGGCATGGTGGTATGAGGCGCAGCTATGACCGAGATGAAGCAAGGTTTGACCGCTCTTCGAAACCAACCAAGCTCTCTGCACTCCGGGGACAGAGCACCTGGGAGGAGAATAGCACTGATGGGTACTGATCCCCGTAAGTTGCTGTAACAGGTCTTACCCATTCAATAGCCTCATTCGACTGTGGCGTTAGAATGCGTTCGGCCCATGCCCCCACAGGTGTTAAAAACGTCAAATCTTGTAATAATCCCTTTCAAGTGGGTGTTCTTATGTTAGTTAGAAGTTAGAACTATTTGCTCACATAAAAGTGTCCCAAAAAGATGTGCACACTGTTTGATCGTTAATAGCTCTCTTCCTTTATGTCTTTTGCCGAGCTTGAAGTATCATTCTGTAGAGCGAGGTTCAACTCAGATTTACAGTATGCAGCGAATTGCCAATCACTCTTCATTACTGTACATTATGGTGTGAACTTTCAGCATGCAGCGTCACTGTGGAATGGGCCTTTTGATAAAAAATAATTTCAAAAAACTCTGAAAATTTGTGTAGCAAGGTTTTGAGGCGTGCTGATTTCACTATATGGCTTTTCACCAGTTTTTCGGCTTTGTTGATGGCGTATTCACATTTCTGACGAACATTGGAAAAACAGTTGTTACCCTGAATGTGAAATAACTTGAGAAAGAAGTATACTGAAGTGCGAACTTTGTATTTACAATCAACGACTTTTATTAGCCCACTTCAAAAGTTTCTGGCTTGTTTGGCTTCCTTTCTGAGGCAAGGTACCGGCAAAAACCGCTTTGAATGGCTTAAAATCTTCCTCGAAGTTCCTACCGTAATCTTACAGTAATGAGGAGCGACCGATGATATGCTCTATTCTGCACATCCAAGTTGAACCTCGCCCTACAGAATGGTACCTCAAGCTTGGCAAAAGACTTGAAAGCAGAAGAGTTATTAACGATCACATACTGTGCACCTCTTTTTGGGACACCCTGTATAACTGCAGTTGAATTACATTAACAACTCTTATGCATCTATAACTAATTTCGGATAGAGCCATACATTTTGGAATATGAAGTAGATTTTCAGGCTAGCTAACTACGACAGATTTAGTGTGAGAAGTATTCAGTTCGGAACGCAAAAAATTATGTGGGAGGTTCTTCCAAGTTCACAAAATCCGCCAAGAAAGATTCCGCTGCCACCCTTTTATTTGAGTCGCTCAAAAATTGCTTTCCAGATTTTGGAGCTGAAACCGCTCTCAACGTCAAAATTTGCTGTACCACATCTATAATTCAGTGGTGAACAGGTGACCCTCCCCCCCTCCCCCTCTCCCTCCCCTATCTTCAACTAGCGAAAGAGGATTGCGTTTGAGCCAGTGGCGAGGGCCAAGGGGAGGCATCCCCCCCCCTAAGAATGAGTCGCGAAATTGCAAACTTGCTTACATGGGTTATAAAATGTGCAAGTGACTTGTTTATTCTTCTGTTCATTCTTATTTATTCTGAATAATCAAAATAATTTTTAAAATTTTCTTTAAAGTTCAAAATGGCTTTGTAAAAAAATACTTTCCAGCGGCGTAGCTGTTGCCATGCCCCTTTTTCTAGATTTGATTATGGACCCATAAAAATTTTGAGGTGCACCTCAAAAAAATTTTAGGAATTTCTTCGCCGCCTCCCCCCCCCCCCCCCCCCCACCTCCCCGGACCGAAATCGTGCGACCGCCGCTGGTTTGAACTTATGTAATTTGCTTGGGTTGTAGAATTGTGCAGGTAATTTGCTTTTATTCGAAACTGAATGCTTTTTTTCAAACATGACATCACCTTCAGATTCCTAGCACAAACTTGCGATGTTTGAGACGCATGTAGGTAAGACCAAAGTTGCTACTTTTCTAAAGCTGTAGATGAGCAAAATTAAAACTTTGTAATTGTATCAGATGATAAAGAAAAGCCTCGCTTTTTTACTTTTTCTAAGCATTTTAGCTAGGATTGATATTGTTCGGGAAGTGAAACAGTTACAAGGCCGAAATTTAATATGAAGTTCCGAGGGTCTGTAAGTATATTACTGCATATATGGGAGGAGCCCAGGACTAGCGGGAGCGGAGATTTTCATTTTTTGTCTTCACCTTTTTCTTGGTCTAACCACGAAATATTAGGCTGTCCGGTAATGTCGCATCGTGTTTTATCATGCAATATCGCGGCAGGGTGAGCAGGAAAGTAAGTAAATGGGGTAACAACCGATAGATTAAAGCAAGTACTACGAAATGAAGCTCGAATGAAGCGCGACAGGTTTGATCTGCTTGGAGTTTGGAACCAAATAAGGCACTAAAAATCTAAAAAACGAAAAAATCGTAATTTCGTTCAAGAAAGTCCTGGGAGCCCCTATCTTGCTCACTCATGGATTCACTAGACCAGACAGTCGTACGCACATTTTCGTGGTTTTTCCATGGCTGGAAATTGACAAAACGAAATTCGGCATATTTTTGTTAAAGCAATCCTGAGCTTTTTTCAAATAGGTGATTCTGTAGTACGAAGCTTTGGGAGTCTAACCATGAATTTTCACTTTAGACAAGCTCTAGTTTTCGAGAAAAACCAAATTGTTTGCAAAAAAAAAACGAAAACCGCGACATACCCGCACCTTTGACCTGATTTTGTTTTGTTGTACTGTGGTCATGGAAGAATACCACAAACTGGACAGGTGAATCTCTAATGTGGAGAGTACATGCCTGTGCAGATTGGAGTCACTACGACGTCTGGACGGAGATACGGTTTTTCGGGTGTCTGAAATTTTTTATATTTGGATTCGAACTTCAGGTAGAGCAAATTTTCGCGGAGATTTGTAAACTATCTTCTAGAGCTTGCTTTGCTCTATCATATGATACCCCATTCGCACTTTTCTGTGGTCTAGGGTGCCATGCGACATTATTTTCCGGACAACCAATACTTACTTACTAATGCTTATCTGCTCTATCGTATGGTACTTTCCACTTTTTTGCTTTTCTATAGAAAGCAGCATTCTCTTCCTTCTAACCTAATAAATTTGCTTCATGTGCAGATTACAAGCTAATGGGAGGAGTCAAGGGTAAATAGAGGTGGGTTTGACACTTTCCTGATACATCGTTCCTCTTATTATTTCAGCGTAGAGCTCATACAACTTTGCCAAGCTAATAAAATTTTTTCGGAGAATACGGCTATTGCCAAGGCTATTTTTTCCCTCCTCTCAAAGATTGGAGTCCGCTTTGAATAGAATCGCGAAGTTCGCTTGAAACGAAATCTTCGACTTGTAGTTTCCTATCGAATGGTTGCAGCACAGTTTTCCTGTCCTGTGCATTTTTTGCATTTGTTATAGATGAGCGAATTGCTTGTGGAGTGCATGCCAATGTGCCATTGGGTTCTCTCCATCCTAATTGCCCTAATTTGTTTTCTTATAAAAAGACTCGCGTTCCCGAGAATGGATGCTTGTACGACGGAAAAAGGGTTGAAGAGTGATGAGAGACATATAGTCATTCTCATTGCATTAGTCACTTTCTGTGGTTTTTTCTGTTTGCTATGGTAAGAAGTCGATGATGCCAGAGCACGACACCCTTTTTGCAGTGGCGGTCCGAAGAGTTTTATTGAGAGGGAGAGGGAGGGCGTCGGACCTTTTTTTATACGAAGATGATGTTAGCTTTGCTTTCTAAAAAATTTTTTGGGATGTTTCATGACTTTTTAGAAAGTCTCTACAGCACTGAATTTCCTTGGAAGGGGGCGTGGCGGCAGTTTTACAAAGCTCAGACGGATTTTTGGAGACTTTTGAAATCTGCTGTAATCATTTGCATGTGGAAACAAGTTACATGCGAGATTTTCTAAGTCAAATAGGTAACTTCAGAAATTACGCAAGGGGCCCCGCTCTCCCCTCCCCCTTCCCCTCCGCCCCTTCCATTTCTCGGTCCGCAACTGCTTTTTTGATGTGTTTGTGTTACTCTCCCGCGTAAAGCTTTTCCTGTAATTGTGATGGTGTTCCAATGCCAACAGTCTGCTCCAATGCAATTTTCGAAAGTTGTGCAATTGCACAAAGTGACTCTGTCCATGAGGACAACTATGAACTACAAGAAATTGTAAGATTGCACCTCTTTCAGTGCCTTCTCAAATGTGTACCTTGTTACGAAGGCATTTCCACCTCCCCTTACTCTTCTCCCCCCTCCCCCCTCCCTCCTCCCCTTTCATCCCGCGCCCCTTCTCACCGATTCTCTTTCACAACGTAGTCGCCCATCTTCATAGTGTGAAGGCCGTGGTGCATTTTCCTCGGGGTAAGCGATGCATAATTCAGAACCTGCCGACAGCGTCGGCAGCTGGAGAAGCCGTCATAAGGAGGACGAGCCCCTCATCCATTAATATGCTCACAAACTCTTCATCGCCTCACTCATTTGCGCGTATTTTTGTTGATGAGCAGTGTTTTCGCGGACCACTCTCATATTGCCTTGAAGTGGATCTTAGTGGACACTTATTGGGAGGCGAACGTTGAAAATAGTCTAGAAGACTGACGTCACTCACCATAGTAGCTTCATCTCCTGCTCGCATATCTTTTTCACCTGATGGCGGGTGTGAGCGGGGTGACGAATGATAGCTGGGGCTTTTTTCCTCTTGTCTGTAGAATTCGCCAAAAATTCTAGTGCGGGTTGTCATTACATATGAATACACGTAGACAAATTGCCTCAAAAAGAAAACGCTCTCACTCTTGCTAAACTTTTGAAGGGGTTTTTGATCTGCTTCCTTCTTTTGGGGAAAAACCTTGTCTCCTTCTCTCATGTTCTCTTACATCACTCGTTGCTGGAGTTCTTCTTGACCAAATGTGTCTGATGATTTTTCCTGGTAAAAGTTATACTTGCGGGGATACAGCTTTTTGAACCCCTTTCATTCAATTACTAGTC